AAAATCTAAATTTTTTGTCAAAATTTGTCAATACACCAGTTTCGATACCAGTTACTATGCAATTATCGGATAATTGCACTAGTCAAATCATCACGTAATTCCAATCTGATTGGTTGAAGTCAACAATCAAAACATGTCATTTCATTGCTGGAACAACAGTTCCAACCTGGTTTTGACAGATGAATGAAATTCTCACTTTAATTTGTTGAATAAAGATGGATTTATGGCGCTACTTATGTGTAAGACAGAGACAGGTCTATGCAAACTTTTCAAAGTCAATTTATCTTGGATCTGATGATTTTTTCAAAAGTTTTCAAGGTTATTACTTGAAACATATCAAAAGTCAACAGAAAACAATATAAAATATCTATGGTCGTATTTAGAAAAATAAAGCTGGATGATGGGCGACCAAAAACAAACTTCAAACAAACTCAGAAAAAAATGAAACGATATTGCAAAATTTCGATTTTTTCCGAATATTTCGTCAAGTACGCAGAATTTTCCAAATTTCAAAATGCTTGGTTCCCGAGATACAGGGTGGAATAGAAATTTTGCGCTTTTTGGGGTGGTATCATATTTTGGACACCCAGTAGGATAGAAAAAAGGTAAAAACTGCTATAGATATATATTTTCACGAAGAATCCAGTGGCGTAGTCAATTTTTTTTTAAACAAACCTTTTTCGAGATATAGCCCAAACTTAGTATTTTCCAAATATGACACCCTGTATTTTTTAATTCCAAAAAATTGGTTTTTATTTTCTCTTTGGAATGATGTATCACCGAGTGTATCACACTAGCCACTTGTGACGTCACTAATCCTTACAAACGCAATATTGAAAAAAAAACGTAAGTTGGCCATGGAATTATATACCGGGTGTTTTTCAAAACCCGCTCACCCCCATAACTTTTTTATTGTCACAAATAAACAAATGAAATTTGGTGTGTTTATTAATAACCCGAATGTGCATTAATTGACGTATTCAATTATTTTTTAGCACTTCCGGTTTGACCGGAAGTGACCCTAACTTTGTTAGTGTAAATGAGATGCCATGTATATTTTCCCTTATTTCAATAGAAAACTAAATTACGAGTACATTGACACCTCATTTTTCACTTTTCGACATTTGATCAAATGAATCAAAAATTTTGATGATTGGCAATAGCAAAGCGATTTTTATTTCAGATTTTAAAATGGAGGACATGGAGATACCTGAAATTCATGCGAGTGATTTTGAAATAGATCCGTTTTATGATAGCGATGACAGCGTAAAGGATCCAGATTATGGTAGGGAGATAAAAAAGAAAAAAATTCCGGACTATTTTGGTTTACACCGAAGATGCGAAGCGAGTACCTCTCGAACGAGAAGCACATCACCAACAGAATCTGTTGATGATGTGGTGATTGGCGATTCATCAATAATTTTCTCAGTCTCAACAGAAGCACAGAGCAGTTGTGAATCTCGCTCGGAAGCCGAAGTCTCTGATGAATGCTCTGCCTTATTTGACGGTACCTATTATAAAATAACTGATAAAGGCGCTAATTTTACTGTAACTGCCCAATGCCAAAAATGCATTCCCAAGATCAAGTACATCAAAGGCAGATCTAATGCTACTACAAATTTTTTGAAACATATGAAAACCAAACATCCTCATGAGCATCAAAAATACCTGGATTATAAAAAATACAAGAAGAGTACAAAAATTGCCCAAAGCAGCCAACCAACTGCAGTAAATAGAAAAAAACAACTGGATCTTAAATCAAGCTTTTTAGGAATGGGACAAAAAATATCGCAAGAACAATTTGACAAAAGAATAGTAAAATTTATCACTGAAACAATGTCTGCCCTATCGATAATCGAAAATAATAGTTTTATTCAGTTATTCGATGGCCTTAATATTAAAGTCATGTCCAGAAAAACGGCAGTAAGACGAATTTCCGAATCATGTAAAACAATACTTGAAAATATTAAAATTAATTTGGAATCTGTACAACATATATGCACGACAGCAGATGTTTGGTCTTGTAAGAAAAGAAGTTTTTTGGGCGTCACATGCCATTGGATCAACCCCGTAACATATGAACGAAGGTCAGCTGCCTTAGCATGTCGAAGATTTTCGGGAATCCATAGTTTTGACCGAATAGCAGAGTTAATCGACGACATTCATTCAACTTTTGGACTTAGATCTGAAAAAATTACGGCGACCGTTACTGATAATGGATCCAATTTTATCAAGGCGTTTAAAGAATATGGCGTGAACATTCCCAGCTCTGTAGTTTTGAATGCCCTCATGACGTGTGAAATAGAACCTGCTGAGATAGACGAAAATGTTGCTAAAGGTATGGAAGAGTTGGCAGATGTTCTTTTTACACCCAATCCGATTAACCCGGACACCATAACTCCCACTGACGAAATTTACTACGAACAAGAACATCCAAACACCCAGTTGCCAAAACATCAGCGCTGTATATCACATACTATAAACTTAATTGCCACTACAGACTTAATGAAATCTATAAACAAGTCAGCTGCAATACGAAACCGTCATACGAATATTCTTAATAAGTGTTCGCAGTTATGGACTAAGGCTGGACGTCCCAAGTCAGCAGAAATAATCAAAGAGGTCTTAGGTCATCATCTCAGCTATCCAGGTATTACTCGATGGAATTCACATTATGATTCCATCAACCAAATTTTGGCAGATAAAGAAAAATTGCCTACACTCTATGAAAAACTGTCCATCAAACAGCATTCGTTGAAAGAGAATGAAATCGAATATTTAACAGAATTCGTTAAAGTACTCAAACCGCTCGCCCTAGCATTAGATATCTTGCAAGGGGACGCCAATATATATTTCGGATATGCTATACCTACTATTGCCAGTATGAGAATTAAAGTCGAAAAACTAAAAAATGAAAAATTGAAATACTTTGCTACTGTTGTGGATGACCTCTCATTAGCAGTTTTTAGGAGATTCCAGGAGTACCTAACATTTAAAAATAAGGACGCAATGCTTGCCGCAATCTCGCATCCAGCTTTCAAAATGAGATGGATAGTCTTATTTAAAGCACAGGAACAACTAACACAACCCCAAATATCAGAGGACCTTAAGAAACTATTCATTTGTGCTTGTGAAGAATTCACACTCATTGCCAGTGAACGTCCCGAAACATGTGAGATTTCAAAAGAACAAGCATTAAATGATTTTTTTGAATTCGATTATGGAACTGATGAAAATTTGCGCCCAGCATTTTCTACTAATAGAGGGGAACTAGAATGCCTACAGTACTTACAAGATCCGCGCACAGAGTTGGCCATGCTTAATAAATATCCCCTCGTGCAGAAATTGTTTCTCAGATACAATACAACGTTACCATCATCCGCACCTGTAGAAAGGATGTTTTCGTACGCTACATTTATTGACACGCCACGCCGCCACGCTTTATCCGATGAAAACTTTGAAAATTTAGTACTTATGAAGGCTAATGCTAATAATAATGATTCAAAGATTTAAATCGTGTGTGTCGCTTTAGCTTTAATTATGCTTACTACTTACTTACCTACTGTTTGTTCTTCTTATACTCTTGTTTCGATCAGTTGATTTGTTTCTTTGAACTGTTATTTTATTTAGTTTTCAGGAAGATAATGTTTATTTTTGTTGTATTTATATTATTCAAATAATTTTTTTTGTTTGATTTGATTATTTGTAGTTATTATTTTTTGAGATTTAAATCGTGTGTGCCGCTTTAAGCTGATTTCAGACGAGCGCGATTTTGCGAAATTTCGCGGTGATCTGTCATTTTTGCGATTTATTATTTTTCCTTCAATACACATGAAGCGATTAATCGCAAACACTGTTTTTACTCTATAATAGCGCAGAAACAACTATTGAGGTATCCATCGACACTATACTCATACTATACTTATACTACTAACTTATCAGTTATCACTTTACCAAAAACAAAACGAACAAAATAATAAACAATCATAACATAACCCTTATTTCATCATTTTGTGGCGACTTGCGATAGGATATTCAAAGTTAAGTTTAGTTGCTGCTATTATTTTTGACAGTTCAAAATGATACATCACCGCGAAATTTCGCAAAATCGCGCTCGTCTGAAAGCACCTTTAGGCTTTATCTGTGCTTACTACTGTTTGTTCTTTTTATACTCTTCTTTTGATCAGTTGATTTGTTTCTTTGAACTGTTATTTTATTTATTTTTCAAGAAGATAATGTTTATTTTTGTTGTATTTATATTAATCAAATAAATAATTTTTTGTTCGATTTGATTATTTTCAATATTTGCCGACTCTGTTTTCAGGTCGGTCGGTCGTATTTATTGTTTGGCAAGGAATGGTAAGTAAGCAAGTAAGTTAATTACTGATTAGAACGGGTAAAATTACCCATGTTCGAAATTCGGAAATTTTTGATGTATTTGCCACTGCCAGTTTTCCACTTTTGCCAGAGTTACTAATGCGAATAGCGACTAGTCTATTCGCACGAGTGACGACCGATATTTTTCATAACGGAGTCTTGATTTGATTTGATTTGGACAGTGCAAAAAAGGGCCTCTAGTAGTCAAATCAATCGTACTTTATCGGTATAATAATACTGTTGTGACAGAGTTAATCTTGGTTCAATGTTTCTAGGTTGATTAGTAGGAATTTATTGTTTTCGCTAGACCTGTTCAATGGTGGGAATGAATATATGCCCTTCAACACTCCGTTATGAAAAATATCGTTCGTCACTCGTGCGAATGGACGCCTTTCTTTTTTAAACTCGCCTCCGCCGATGGCTCCTTCTGCTACGAACTACGACTCGTTCCAAAATCATTGCCCTCGTTTGAAAAAGGCCGTCTGCCCGTCTATTCGCACAAGAATCTTTGGTAACATTTTTGGTACTAGTATGCCCTGTACCTCTAATGGGTGAGTTAAACTATAGCAAAACACTACATAATCAATTTCCAATTCTAGCTGCTTGTTTTCTAATGCACCAGCCCCAAATCCAGTTAGGCACCTCGGAAACGGTAATGATAGTAGCCGAACTGGGAATTAATATTCTCAAATACGGTTATTTGAGGACCAAATCGATGGCACTGGCCGAATTGTTCGATTGGTTACGGGAACCCATGTTCAATTACGTTCCGGATAAAGAAAAACAAATTCTGGATGGGGCATTTAGGAAATATTACGCTATTAGTCGGATTGGATACTCTATCAATACGGTTTGCGTCGTTTTGTGGTACATTAAAATGTTATCCGATGAAAATCAAATGCCTTCGAAATTGTTTGGGAATGAGAATGTTTATTTGAAGAGTTTTATGTATTTTCTGTTGACTATTGGTAGGGAAATTTTAGGAATTGAACAGTTAAGGAAAATTAATTTTTTTTTTAGGATTTTTCTATACTGGAATCGCAAATATGTCTTTCAATTTGATCGTAATCGGTTTAATTTATCATGCCGCATTGCAAGTAAGAATAATCAAATCCTTAATGGGAAATTTGTACGAATATGCTAATGAACAACCGGATAATTTGAAAAGCGAAGTTGTTTATAGGCAAATCGCTCATTGTGCTAGAAGATATTGGTTGGTTAAAAGGTTTGATTTTGTCTTAAAGATTTTTCAGTTTGTTGAAAATATGTTTTTAGTTTCGTAGCCAGCATAGAATCGACATTTTCGCTTCCGCTATTTTTTCAGCTTTGCGTCAGCATTTTGGTAAATTGTTTCGTGTGTCTGCAATTTTTGATGGTGAACAAACAAAATGAAATTGGGAAAAATTATCAAAACTTTATTTTTAGAGCGACACTTTGTCTTTCACAATCATATTTCCAATAATCGCATTGTTTGCTGTTACTCTTGAAGAGTTTATGTATTGTTTTATTGGAAATCTTATATTTGAAGAGGTCGGTATTTGATTTTTTAGTGGTTAGAAATATCTTTAGAGTTTATTTTCTAGACTTCACAGTTTAACACCGATCTGTACTTGACCGACTGGATCGAGTTGGATGTTAAGTGCCGCAAGGCCTTCATATTTTTAAGAGAAAATTCTAAGAAGCCTATTGTAATTAGAGCTGGCAAATTGCTGGATTTATCTCTGCAAACTTTTGCTATGGTGAGAATTGGGCTTGTAATCATTTTTTAACTGTAAAATTGAATTTTAGTTGGTGAGGCGTTCATATTCGCTTCAGACAGTAGTTTTCAGGTACAAGAGTTAGAAATTGTGTGATTTCTGCACAAAAATGATAAGTTGACTCAAGCAAGAACTTTATATTCTATTAGTAGGTAGTACCAAAGAATACTAATACTACTATGCCGCAGTTTTAGTAATACTTAATAGAAGTTTTATCCGCATTAATTTTGCTTTTTTAATTTTTGAAAAAATGGATGATCTTAGTCCAATGCGATCCAATGTTTCCACATAGTTTCCAAAATTGAAATTTTACATATACAGGGTGTCGTCTAATTGAATGTCAATGTTTAAGGGAGCGGTTTTTTGGGTTCATTTTAAAAAGAAAACTATATATGAACGTATATGTCCTAAACGTCTTTATTCCAAGCTTCTGAATTTTCTTCATTTCGACAATTTCAAGAGCCAGGAATAGACAAAAATTGAACTAGAGAGGAAGAAATTCCCAGGGAATTTGAGAAAAAAATGGTAAACAAGTAGACACAAATTGAGGTATAAAAATTCAGAAATAAAGAGAGAAAATATAAGAGTAATTGAGAAAAAATTGATAGATAAGAGGAAATTAATGTTTTTTCTATTCCCGGCTCTTTAATTTCCTTTATTTCGGCAATTTCAAAAGTCGGGAATAGACAAAAATTGAGCTGGAAAAAATGAGAAATAGAAGAAATTTCCAGAAAAATTGAGAAAAAATTGGTAAACAAGTAGACACAAATTGAAATATAAAAATTGAGAAATAAAGTGAAGAAATATAAGAAAAATTAAGAAAAAAATGGGTAGATAAGTGAACATCCATGTTTTTTTTAATTCCAGAATCTTGAATTTTCTTTATTTCGATAAATGCAAGAGCCAGATGCCTATAGGTAGACAAAAATTGAGCTCGAAAAATTGAGAAATAGAGAGAAGAAAATGAAAAAAAAAAATTGGTAGACAAGTTCCTACCTAGACACAAAATAGAACCTATTATGTTTCTAGTCCAACCTCTTGAATTTTTTCTATGTAGGGCCGGTTTATTCACCTTCTGATAAACTGTCAGGTACCTATACAGTCTGGCGGATAAGACCGCAAACTGCTCTCATTGGTCGATGGTTAGCCAGTAATCCGCCGACCAATAAAGTTATAGAACGGTAGATTTATTTTGCAGATAGTTACCAAGAAGTTTATTATCTGAAGATAAATACCTAAGCCGGGCCTAAGAGAGATTTACAAGAAAACGAAAATTCAAGAGTCAGGAGAAGAAAAAGAATGAGAATTTTTGGAGTTCCAATTTTTTATTTTTTTTTTCAGGAGAAATCATCAATATCTGCCAAAATAAAGAGTTTAAGTTTCGTACGAACGCTACTGGTGAAATTTAAAAAAAAAATAAGGTAGTATATTGAAAAATGCCTCATTGGGATCTCGGAAACGGTGAGAGATACAGGGTTGGTTAAATGGGGGCAAAGTTGCGTAATTTGATGTTTAACAAATTGCCGCTTTGATATTCAGGATATCCGAATACTTCCAGAGATATCCGGAAAAAAAACCAAAATTTTGCAAAATTGTTTTTATTTTTTCCTGACTTTATTCGATCTGATATTTTTTTAAAAAAATGACACTTCATCATAGACACTTTTTTTCCCCTACAAGAAGCTAGCTTCGAAATCAAAATCTGACGTTTCGTCTATGGCAGTGTTACCAGATTGGGGGATTTTCCCCCAAAATTGGGATTTTCAAGTAGATGGGGGAAAATCTGGGGGATTTTTTGGGGGTAAGATTTGCAAGAATTTTCGCTATTGGGAGAAATCGGGTATATTTCAATGAATAAAACTAAAGTGAAAAATTTATTAAAACAACTGCGCCATCTATTTTTTCAATCAAGTACCAATAAAAAAGATACAGTTTGCTTCTTCTCCAGTGTTGCCAATGGGCGGATTTTAATCCGATTTGCGGATTTTTTTTGGACGATCGGATTTTGTAATTCAGAGGATTTTTTGCGGATTTTTTTAGATAAAACGAATAAGGGCATGAAATCCCTCCAAAGCACAAAAAGCCAACATGGCTGCTATGGCAGTATGCAATAAAAGCGTTTGGTGTAGTTTTGAGGTTATGACAGTGTGTTTTTATTGAAAAACAACTTCCAAAAACGCATTTATTAGGCAACTTTTCGCGAGGATAATCAAGCATAATCTGATTAGCTGAGTTATCTGATGTGTCAATTGTGTCATACTTCCCTAACTCTCAAACTCTCTCTCCATCAAATGCCTGCGAGTGACTCTCAGCAGGTTATACTGATGACGTCACCCGCAGACCTCGATGGAATGCTTGCGATTCAGGCTATGCTAGTGAGTTCATTTTTTCGTCGATTTTTCCCAGAATTTAATGGTGGGGGTTGTTCTCAGAAAAATATAAACAAATAAAAAAGTGGTAAGGGTATGAGTTTTATTTTAAAATATTCAACGAATTTGTCTTTTTTTTTTTGCAAGTATGAGTCGAGAATAAATCTAAATTTATTTGGGGGATTTTAGTTTACAAACAGGGATTTTTGGGGTATTTTTGAAATCCTTTGGGGGAAATTAGTTATCTGGCACACCTGGTCTATGGGCCACCATCATCAACTTCATTTTTTTAAATACGACCCCCCTTTTTTTAATTTAGATTTTATAAGCTTCTGATGTCCCAAAACCAATGACGTATTGCACTTATTCGAAAAATTAATATTTTTGGCACTTTCCGCAAGAACTAAATGTGTTAGAGAGAGACAGAGGAAAGAATTTTGGTCACAAATTACTAAAAACTAGGAAAAATATTTTTTCGAATAAACGCCATACGTCACAGATTTTGGGACATCAGAAGCTCTAAAAATCTGAAATAAAAAATCCAGGGTCATATTTGAAAAAATTAAGTTGATGATGGTGGCCCAAAGACGAAACGTCAGATTTCAAATTTGATGGTAGCATCTTGTAGGGGAGAAAAAGTGGCTATGATGAAGTGATTTTTTTTTTCTCCGAATGACAGTAAAAGCAGCTTTTTAATGACACTTGACAGGATCAAAAGTTGTATTTTTACTTCCTAGGCAGTAAAAGTGGACTTTTACTGCCTAGGCATTAAAAGTGACAGTGTCACAACGTTCCAGGTAATAATTTCACTCAATTTGGTATTTGAAATTGATGGTGACAATGACAAATGTCAAAATAATTTAATTATTTGGATAATAATAATGAATGAAATAAGTATAAAAAAGATGTCCATGTGTGAATTTGATCATTCGGAGAAAAAATTATATATATATATGTTTTACATGGCAGAAAAGCAGATTCAATGCCTCGGCTTGTTTCCTAGCCTCGGCTATGAAACACTAGCTGCGGCATTAAATCTTGTACGTTTCTGCCTAGTAAAACAAATAACTATTTTTGAAATATCACTTCAAATAAAGTCGGGAAAAAATTAAAACAATTTTGAAAAATTTCAATTTTTTCCGAATATCTCTAGAAGTATTCGGAATACCCTAAATATCAAAGCGGCATTTTGTTGAGCATCAAATTACGCAACTTTGCTCTAATTTAACCAACCTTGTATCTCTCACCGTTTCCGAAATCCCAATGTTGTGGCTCGAATTTGAAACACCCCATGGTCAGCGCCGGCCTTAGGGGGGTGCAGAGGTGCTAACTGCACCCGGCGGCAAAATTTAAGAGGCGGTAAATTGAGAAAATAAATCAAAATAGAAATTATAAAGGAAAAATCGAACGGTATAATACGGTAGAATATTATTTATGAGAAATGTTAAAATTATTTATCAACCCGGTGATGTAATTAGCAACATCGCCAGTATTGCTCTGGTAACCCGCTCTCTTCGCTTCCATTTTCATTAGAATACTAGAATATTAGGTATTGATTACGAAAAAGTATTGACATCGCGGCGCCGGGATTCCAAGAAATTAAATTATAAATTAGTCACTTGTTCACGTCGGGCAGTGCGCTTTTTCCTAGAATTCTATTAAGTATATTCGATTCGATGTTTTTCTAGCTAAATCCTGAGTGCAATTTTGACTATATAAATAGAGCGTAGGAATAATTTGAGTTTCTTGTAATTCAATTTTTGTCGAGTTTCAGTGAACCTGGAGTTCCTGACAGTATATTTATTTATTTTCTAACTGTTAAATACACTCGGATGATTACACTATTATTCGCCTGCGTCTCGTAGTGCAAACTTCATCCTTTGTGAGTAATAGCCATCATTACCCGCTCGTTGAATAATATACTATTTGTTATTTGAGAAAAATTAATATTTTATTTTGATTTTGCATTCGTGGAATTGCCCTACTAAATACCATTCTAGCTCAGATTTTGAGCATTACTTACGGATAAAAAAACTTTGCTGATGTATTTTTAACTTTAAAAACTAGGAACCTTTAAGAGGCGGTGGGATGTAAATTGCACCCGGCGGTAAATCAGGTAAGGCCGGCACTGCCCAAGTTATTTCAAATTCGAGCCACATCATTGGGATCTCGGAAACAGTGAAAGATAGAGGGTTGGTTAAATTGGGGCAAAGTTGCGTAATTTCATGCCTAACAAAATGGCGCTTTGATGTTTAGGATATTCCGAATACTTACGGAGATATCCGGAAAAAAACGAAATTTTGCAAAATTGTTTTTATTTTTTCCAGACTTTATTTGAAGTGATATTTCAAAAAAAATATCACTTCAACATAGTTACTTTTTCTCCCCTACAAGATGTTAGCATCAAATTAGAAATCTGACGTTTCGTCTTTGAGCCATCATCATCAACTTTATTTTTTTAAATACGACCCTGGATTTTTTATTTCAGATTTTAGGAACTTCTGATGTCCAAAAACCTACGACGTATCGCATTTATTCGAAAAAATATATTTTTCCTACGACCACATACGAAAATGACAAAATTTGCACTAGCTGGTTCTTTGGAAAGCGCTAAATATCACACGCGTGCTGAAAGTACTTTCAATACGCGTGTTAAAAGAACTTTCAGCACACGTGTGGAAAATACTCTTGACATTATTTGTGATTGACATGATAATTTACTTTCAATACGTGGATTGAAAGTACTTTCAGCACGTGTGTTGAAAATGAAAAGAAATGAAATTAGAAGAAATTGATGTAAATAGGTTTCTGGTCGTAGGAAAAATGGTGTACATTACTCGTAAGAAAGCGTCTCTCATACACTCGTGTGATTTTCGCACTCGGCTGCCGCCTCGCGCGAAAAAACACTCGTGTGAAATTTGTCACTTTCTACTCTCGTAATGTAATATACTATTTCCTACAGCGGTGCGGAAAAATCGATTTTTCGCACTGATATGCGTGCGGAAAATGAGTTTTTCCTACGAGCGTGCGGAAAACGCGTTTTCACGCACTGATTTACCACTTGTCACACTGCGGGCACCGAGAAAAGTTTTTCGCGCACTGTTTTTTTTTTTTTCAATTTTTCTCTTCATGTCATTCTTCTCAAAAATTTAAGATCTTTTTGAAATTCCTTCACCGTTTTTTCTCTCCAAGAAAGCTATTAGGTTTTTGTACTAACCAATATCGACCTCTTTAACGAGTTGTATACCATAAATAATTAATATTAGTATAACTTTCCGCACTTGTTAGGTAAATAACTATTCCCGCACGGTGCGGTAAAACTTTTACCGCACGCATATCAGTGCGGAAAAAGTTTTTCCGCGCGGCTGTCAGTGCGGAAAAAATTTTACCGCACGTCTGGCAATAAAAAAAAAAAGAAAAATTCTACATTTTTACGTAAATATAATGTACCTAACACTTGCGGAAAATATTTTTCCGCACTCGGCTGCTTTACGGTTCGGTGAACAACAGCCGCGTGCGTTGGTAAAATAAAAAGTAAGGGTCCGTATTTAAGAAAATGAAGTTGATGATGGTGGCCTAAAGACGAAACGTGATATTTTAAATTTGATGCTAGCAATCTGTTTGGGAAAAAAAGTGGCTATGATGAAGTGTTTTTTTTTTTTAAATATCTCTTCACATAAAGTCCTGTATGTACTCTATCTATCATAACGAAATGCGCACTTATTTCGGACTCACCCTGTATATGGGATAAGTGTTCGGCATTTTTGAAACTGTAAACACGAAAAACTACAGTTTAAAGCCTAGTACTCATAACTGCGAAATTCGCATTTTTTTGACGTTTTATGCGTGTATCAAAACGTCAAATTGTCGAAGCAATGTCAAAAAAATGCGAATTTCGCAGTTATGAGTACTAGGCTTTAAAATGAGAAAATCAAATAACATAGTTCCAAGAGGCCTGTCGAGGCTAGTACAAAAAGTGCTGCTCGAATTACTTAAACTCTAAACTGAAATCACCTTGAATGTAGTTCGAACAGTAACAATCAGAGCAGTGTGAACAGAATAAAATTAGTGCAGATGAAACATAAATTGAACCACTTAAAATAACTTGAACAGTAGAAGGAATTCTAATAAAATCTGTTTTTTTTTTTAAGAGAAAAGTCAAAATGACATTATGTTGGCAATACAATGTAAAAATGTCAAAGGTCGTGCTGCCAACATACCGTGCGTTCGTTATTTTGGTCTGAGTTCTCCGAGCTCGACTTTACCGTTCGTTTATATAAAAAGTGTACTCGGTGCAGCCTCATTCGCGTTCGTTTATTAAAATTTCCGGTACTTTTATACGGCGTTCAACTGCTCCGTTCGCTCGCTGGTCACGTGATTACGGCTCCGCTCAGCTCGCTCTACACTTTGAACAAAATACCGAACGCAAGGATAGTCACTAAATTTTTGACTTGGGGAATTATCTTAAAAAAGAAACAGATTTTACAATAGGGATGTTTACAAAATAAAAAAATCCCGTTTAACAATCATCAAATTATTAGTTGTATTCCTTTCAAGGGTTTGAAACACTCGAGCTACTCGCTCCAGTGTTTAGCAGCCCCCGATTTGCAGGGAAAAGATGCGTGGTGCAACAAACACTTTTCGAAAGGAATAAGCGCGTGAAGCCCCGGAGCTGTTCCGGAGCTCGTCCTAGGTGTGAAAGGAATGCAACTATTAAGCATCGTTTCTTAAGTAAATTTACAAAATTTTACGAAAATCAGAAAATTCTTTCTATGAGAAAAACGGAGATTAAATATCAATATTCGTTTAAAAGCAAGAAACGCTCGCTGACGTCATAATGTGTAACGAGTTAGCGCGCGCAAGTACAGTGGCGCTACTTTCTACCTTTCTACTTGGATCAGCCTTTTGTGACGTTGCTTCTGCGATTTTTGTTGGCAATAAAAAATATTAATATTATTATTACTATAAGTGTCTTTTTCTTTCATATGCATTTATAGATATACTGATGAACTAATTTGGTGATTGAATGTTAGGAAGCACCCTGAATAGTGAACTCTATTAATTGTCCAAATACTTTCTACAATGAGCGGAAGAGAGACAAATACATTGTAGGCAATTATTATATCGTAAATAATTCCGCAACGTGACGTCACAAGCGCTACTCTCGCCGCAAGGAGTCGTTTTGCTAGCCTCGCTAATTTCGTTTTTTTGTTTTCGATTTATTAGAAAATATTAAGGGTTTCTAGCTGTTTTAACGTTTAATACGTGTTTTGTGGACCTAGAACCACCACTTTTTATTACATTTGAAAAATAGTGAACATTTCTATTATTGCAGATAAAATACTTATAGCGTATTTCATTGGTAGAGCAAGTGCAACACTGGTATAATTTTTTTAATGAAATTCTAGATTTGAGGTTTGACGTATAAAATCTGTTTTTTTTTTTTAAAGATAAAAGTCATAATGACATTATGTTGGCAATACAATGGAAAATTGTCAAGCTTTCAATTTTTTTTATGTAGAAAAGGCTTGTGTTGCCAACATAGTCACTAAATTTTTGACTTGGGAATTATCTTTAAAAAAAAAAAAAAACTTTATGAGATGCTACAGTATGATGATGTTTCATTGGGACTGCACGAGAGCAGTTTTTTTAAAGTGTCAGTGCAAAACTAGTGTTGCACTTGCTCTACCAATGAAATACGCGATTAGAGCTGGGTTCGGCTATTCAGCGCGGAGTTGGAGTGGAGTGAACAGAGCTAATGGAGTCACCCCTAATACGGTAAAAAGCAATACCCGAACCTCAACCCGAACGGCTGGAGTGTGAATGGAGTCACTTGGAGTGCACGGAGTGAGCAAGCCGAACCCACCTTAGAGTAATTTGAATCGAGTTAATGCAAATGGAACACAATTAGAACAGTCAAAATAGTTCGGTCAGTTGAACAGATCAAAAAGATTCAGTGCACTTGGAACAGTCAGAGTGAAATTACTAATAACTCAAAATTAATTTTCAAATCAGCCTAATGTTATTGAAATAATTCGAACAGTAACAATCAGAGCAGTGCAAGCAGAACAGAGTTAATGCAGATGAAAAATGGGGATTATATAGCAATTGGAACGTTCGGACAATTGAACAGATCAAAAAGAGTCAGTGCACTTGCAACAGTCAGAGTAGAATTACTAATTACTAAAAGTCCAAAATTAATTTTCAAATCAGCCTATTAAAATTACACTCGGTTATTTACGCGCCACAATTTAGAAAGCTACAAGTACAGAAGCACCCTCTACAACTCAATTTTGAATATTAAATACATGCGATTAAAATACGTTTTTTTCAGACTTATCAGCTGCTTGTAGATATTATTTGAACTGGTGACGTAACAAACCTGAAATATGCACTCTTGAATTTTGAAGTGAACATTTTTTCGCTTTATGTAAATTTAAACTTGCCTATTAGACCGTTTCTATACATAACGACAACCCTGTATGTGCAACATGTTACTCTACTTCCACTAAGGGTGGGTATTATAAAACTACTTAAAGTTAACTTCTGGAATTACATGTAATTTAAGTTAACTTCAAGTTAACTGTCAAAGCAGTTTTATAATACCCACCCTAAGAATCTCCTTTTTCAAGGTGGAACTTTTGGAATGAGCTCCATTGACTCGACTCCGTATAGCTCATTGTGTGTAGCTACTCTATCTACGACGAAAATGTTTACCCGAATGTTCGGAGTGTCAAAGGAGTACTTACTGCACGGAGTGAGCCGCTCAAGTGACATTTGGCACGGAATTTAAAATTGACAACAATGTCAACAATTGTCAAACAAAAATTTAAATAAACAAACAACAAACATAAAAATTAAATAACAATAATGTAAGAACGTGTGGTAAAAACCTTAATAGAAACCCTGTAAAAACAGTGTAAACTGAGGAACTCTCCGAAGCAGCAACCTGTTCCAGAAAAATGAATCCAGTAAGAGCAACAACTTCGTTTGCAAAATCAAAAAAACAAATTAAAACTAAAAATAAAGGTCAGCAGCAGCCCCCCAATGCTAATTCGCAAAACGATAATGACAAGGATAAAGGTTCCCCAATCAAAGTACGATTTCAGTGAAAATGGTGTTTGCTAGATGGTACTACTATGGACTGGTAGATTTTGGAACCTTTAAACTATTAATTTTTTTCCCTTGTAGACATTTTTTATTTTAACTATATTATGTATACTGTATACTTATGGCTGGCTGCTCTAACTTATTAGAAACATTTAAGAATCAAAATTTTTTTAAATTTAGTTCAGAGTTGTAACAACTAACACATTTTTGTTTTAAGTATAGTTAAGTTTGCCTATTTACTAGGCACAAGGGATGAATAGCTCTTGCAGTCAGTGTACATATTTCTCACAATCTTTCAGCTATTCACCCTTTGATTAGGCATAACAACAAAGCTATTTTACTTTCTATCCAAAACCCCTACAGTAATTATTTTTAAATTAGAAAGGTGGAGGGTTTAAAGAAAATGTATGAGCATGTTGCTTAATTCTAACAAATGTGGGCACTCGCATTACGTACGTACCATATGATATATTTTAGGAATTTCAGGATTATGCGGGCATTAGTCCAGAATTGACCAGATATTTTGCGGAACAAGCTTTAGGCAATGAAGCTTTGGGCCGTACAAGCCGAGGTACAAACTCAGACCAGGTTATAACTCAAGAAGCTTGCAACATACTCACAGAGGATATTAATTATAGACTAAGACACATAATTCATGTATGAATGTTTATAAGTTGAAATTATCAAATAATTGATAAGGGATGGTTTTAGGAATGTGTTGTTAAAGGCAGAAAACAAGGTCGTCATTCTATCACGGCTGTAGATGTGGCAGAGACTTTTAATAGTTTGAATATTGAGACTGTTTATGGGGCTCCTTCTTCGCCAAATTGGTTGCCTTGTAGAGATGCTCCTAGATCGTACTTGGAAGTAAGTTATACACAAATGTTTTTAGAATTTTCTATCTAAGGAAAGTTTTTGAAAGTTTCAAATTTCTACAATGACAACGAACCCTTTTCAGGGCTTTTAACTTTTCTGAGAAGTCCAGATTACTGAACCTTTTAATGGATGAAAATATGCTTTCTTGTCCAAAAACACAAAAGTTCAGGGAACACTTTTTCCAATTTGATTCCCAATGTTTACAAAGTACTTATTGATCTAATAGCTATTTCTTGATCATCATGAATTCTCCTATCATAAGGTAATCTATCCTATTGATTCTACTTTTATAATTTTCTGAGTAATCATTGTCTATTATCTGGTTTACAGCTTTTCAATGTTTTCCTCAAATCTCCCTCTGCTTGGTGAAATTTTAATTTTAGATATTTATGTTTTAATTTGGTTCTTAATGAATTACAGAGGTTTTTTAACTGTTTAAACTCATCAGCAATATGTTGATTTTGAGGGTTATTTTTGTATCTTACATATACTTTGTCTCTTTGTTTTATTATATTCAAAAATTCATTGTTTATCCAATGTTTGTTTCTATATTTTATACTTATATTTCTCGTTGCTTTCTTTTTTGTGTCTCATTATTTTAGTGAGATACTCAAAATCTCCAATAGTATTTTTTTCTATTTCTGCCTCTACCCTTTCACAGAATTTTTTTACATTGATATTTCTCACTACTCTTCTTTACATTTGATTTTCCCTCACCTTATGTTTATTTACAGTTAATAATTGAATCCTATGGTCTGTCATACAGTGATGAAAAAGTTCAAATTTAATATCTGTATTTTTTAAATTTAATATTACATGATCTATCAGGGTTTGACTAATTTGAGCCACTCTCGTAAGTTCTTCACTATTTACGAATTTAAATCCATTTTTAACAATCATATTTTTATATTCCAGGCTTATATCATCATTAAGTAGCAAATTTATATTCATATTTCCAAGTATAATCGGGTCTTGTTCCACATTATTCATAAAGTTATTGATATCATTAATAAACACCCTTTTATCTATAGATGGTGGCTTATATACAGCCACAATCTTTATGTTGGAATTTTGTACATTAGGAACTAGCCAGTCATAACCATTAATAGATTTTATCAATTCTACCTGATACACAAATATGATACTTTATGCGAGGGGCGGTTAACTAGTCAAAATTTGTGTACAAGTTGGTCAAAATCCCAGAAAATCTCATAAAATCCAGTTAAAATCCCTAAAAATCTTTAAAAATCCTTAGAAGAATAATAAAATCCCACAAAATCTCTTGAAATCGCATAAAATTCCACAAAATCTCACACAATTTCATTGAAACTAAAAAAATCCTGCAAAATCATTAACATTCCTAAAAAATATTTCCTTTGAAATTCCCAAAAATCCATTGGAATCCCCAAAAATCTGTTAAAGTTTCTAATGCCTGTATTACATGTCTGTATTTTTCCGTGTATTTATTCACGTAGTTCAGGGTGGCAACCAAAAAACTTCAAACGCAACATAAATCACCATTATGAAAAACAAAATAATGTTGTTAAATTACATGTAAAGTTTTTGCGGAGTTTCCATAGAATTCACATTAAATTTTAGTTCCTCTCGAATTACATGAAATTTCGAGAAATTACATGAAATTTCAGTGAAATTTTGATCATATTATACGAAATCCTGAATTAGTTGCATGGAGGAATTCTAAACAATTACATGGAATTACACCGAAATTCTCAACATGAAATTTTGAACAACTTTTGTCCTTTCATATGGAATTCCAGTGAAATTCCGAAAAATCTCAATGTAATGATGTAAAGTTTTTTTTTTCACCAAGGAATTCCCAGTTAAAAACATGGAATTTTAGTGAAATTTCGAAAAATTCCCATTGAATTACTGAATTTAAGTAAAATTCCAGAAAATTTCACAGATAGAATTCCGAGGAATTTCCGGTTAAAAACATGGAATTTTGGTGAAATTTGGAAAAATTCCCATGTAATGACATTAAATTTCAATATATTTCGGAGGAATTTTGGTAAATTTTCAAGAAATTACCTGAAGTTTCATCAATATTCCCAGGAATTCTTGACTATAATTGAAAGAATATTTCAGTGAAATTTCGAAAAAAAATTGAAATTTCATTGGAATTTCGAGAAATTTTCGACTAATAACGTGGAATTTCAGTGAAAATTCTCATAAAATTCTGAGAAATTTTTAAGAAACTACATGACGCCTAAGATGAACAGCTCTGACAAGGATTTCAATTTTCTGTTTTTTTGTTACGCAATTTTTTGATGAATGAATAGGTTCGTGTCAGTGAAATTCCGAAGAACTTTTTGAAAATTTTGTGGAATTCCAGGATATTCCAGTGATGAAGTTTTAGGGAATTTCAGTGAAAAAAATTATGTACCTAATTTGGAATTTCATAGAATTTTGGAGAATAAAAAATAATGAAATATTCGCAGAATTTTCATCAAATTACATATACAGGGTGAGTTACTAAGCGCGCGGTGGTCCACATCTTCTATACTAACGGAGATCGGAGAAAAAACTAAATACAAAACTTGTAGATAAACATGAGTACTACATTCCTAAATTATTTTCCAGTATACAGGGTGGCCTAATTACTAGTAGTGACACAAAGCTTTGTTTTTTTAAATGACTCCCCCCATATATTATGACATTTCTAGACATATTTCATGTTCTATGTCATATACCTATCTTCAACTGTTTCGGAAATATTGACAGTTGAAAATTGACTTTTTTGCATCTTTGACAGACTGTGAAACCTAAACGGTTAATTTTTGAGGAAACAGGATTTCACATTCCTATCTTAGATTTTCATAAGCTATCATTTGACACCAACTTTGAATTTAACCGATGATTAATAATTTACGCGGAATTTTTAATCATGGATTAAATTCAAGATTTGTGTCAAATGATAGTTTATGGAAAACTAAGATAGGAATGTAAAATCCGTTTTCTTGTAAAATTAACCGTTTAGGTTTTACAGTCTGTCAAAGATGCAAAACAGTCAGAATTCAACGGTCAATATTTCCGAAACAGTTGAAGATATGTATATAACATTGTACATGAAATATGTCTAGAATTTTCCGCAAAATCCAGAAATGTCATAATATACAGGGGGAGTCACTTAAAAAAACATAACTTTGTGTCGCTACTAGTTATTGGGCCACCCTGTATACTGAAAAATAATTTAGGAATATAGTACTCATGTTTATCTACAAGTTTTGTATTAGGTTTTTTCTCTGATCTCCGTTAGTATAGGAGATATGGACCACCGCGCGCTTAGTAACTCACCCTGTATATAATTATTATAATTTTAGTTTGTGTCGACTTACATAAAATTTCGATGAAATGTCGAGTAAAATTCCAAGGAATTCTCGTCGAATTACATGGAATTCCTTAAAATCTTATTGTGGAATTTTAATGAAATTTTTGTGGTATTTTGAGAAATTTCATGAAATCTTAAGCCGGAATCTCATGCATCCGTTTTCCAACGAAAGATGTTGGAAAAACCTTCTATTCTGACATAATCGTATGAAAATATGTCAAAATAGAAAATTTTTCGGACATCTTTCTTCGGAAAACGTATGCATGAGAATCCGGCTTTATACTTTAATTTCGAGGAATTTTTGTACAAGAATCCCATTGAATTTTATAGTGAAATTTCATGGAATCTTATGGTGAGATTCGGTAATTTGAAATCTTATACCTAGTAAAATTTCTAGGACTTCTAGGTTTTTCTATTCAAATTTGTCATTGAATTTAGAATCTCTAAAAACTTTTCAAAAACCCTTAAAATGCTCTAGAATCACCTAATATTTTGAAAATCTAAAATCTTCTGAATTCCTGTGAAATCGTATAAAGATTTTCAAAATCCTCAAAATCCTACAAAATCAATAAAGATTTAAAATATGTGTTCATTATTTTGGAGTTAATTAAACCTCGGAATGGTTGATTGGTCAAAATCTGTGTACAAGTTGGTCAAAATCTCAGAAAAACTCGTGAGATCTACTTTAAATTTTTGAGAATCTTTAAAGTCTTTAAAAAACCAACAAAACCTCCTTAAATCATTAATGTTCCTAAAAAAAAAATTCCTTTATAATTTCCAAAAATCCTTTGGAATCCCCAAAAATCCATTAAAATCTCTAAAAATCCTTCAGGATCTCTAAAAACCCTTCTTACTTCCGTGAAATGCTCCAAAATCACTTAAAAAATCTTCCAAAATCCTGTAAAACATGACGTGAAGATTTTCAAAATCCTCAAAATCCCACAAAATCAATAAAGATATAAAATCTGTGTACATATTTTAAGGAGTTAACCACCCCTCGACTTTATGTATTTCATTAATTAATTAATCGAAATTATGTAGGATCAAAAAGTTAACTTAATCGAGTTAGCGGAAGAAGAATTCAAATACAGTCAAGAAGGTGACATAGTCATAGACCAAGTCTGGCTGCCAAACGAAACTGATTCTCCAGAAGAAGCTGAAGCCAATCAACTAACCCTAAATGAATATTTTGAAGCTATGTGTGAAGCTGTGATAAGTGACCATCCTCACATACGCCATGTGGCTTTACTGGACATAAGTACCAACCCATCAATTGGGCCAATAACTGATTGGTTTTATCATTTTTCATATTTTTTGCTCATAAAGGATCTCACCTATGACAGGCTTACAATGAGAGCCTTGCAACTGTTGGAAGTTTTGGAAAACAGCCCTTTACCCAGCTTACATATTTATCCCAAGCAATTAAAACTGATTGTAAGGCTTTTATTGCAAAGGCTTTTGATGTCCAGTGCTAGCGAGGATATTGTTAAACATATGGCGTATGTATTGTCGCTGTTTTGCTTGAGGGAACCGTTGAAAAATATGGCTTTAAATAAGGTGGAAGATAAATTCGATACGGTTTGCGAAAATATGGCCTTGCCTTTGTTGAATATTATTTATTATTTGGGTATTGAGGCTGTTAGGAGGATTTTTGTGCCGAATGTGATCTACTTTTTGGCTAGGGTTGTTGAAGATGATGATCCCAGTATGACTGAGATTATTTTGGTAAGAAATTGGCTTATTTTTGTAGTAGTTAAGTATCTGTAGATAGCTGTACCAAAGGAGATATAACTATACTATGCTGCAAAAGTGGGTATAAATATGTGATATTTCAGAAGATATTTCATACATTTTTCAACATTTCAAAATGGTTTAAATGTAAAAAAGTGCAAGTTATTTTAAGAATTTTCAACATGAAAAAAAATGGAAATGTGATTTTTCAGGACAGAAAATCTCTATTTGTGGAGATCTTCTTAGAATTCCATCTCCTACACATCCTTGGATTTCCAGGAATATCCTGGGATCTCCAGGCATATTCTTGGATCTCCCTGGAGATCATTTGAATTTCCAAGGATTTCTATCTCGGAAGGTAGCTACCTTATGATTTCAATTTTGGAAAACTTTGAAAGGTCATAACTTTTTTTCTATTATAGATAGAAAGCTGAAAGTTATTTTATCCCTTTCAAAGGACTACAATTCCTGAAAATTTCAGCTCATTTGCACTTATAGTTCCTGAGATAAAATCGTGTTAAGCAATTTGGGGTGATTTTTCAATTTTTCCATTTTTCTGAGTGCCTTTTTTCATAGATTTCGGCTTCAAATTTAGTGTAGGGAGTTTGGGATATGTTGATTGACCATTAGGATACAAAATCTCGACAAAAAAAAAATGAAATTTCATCATTTTAGTAAGAAGGTACCTACCTTATGATTTAGATTTTGGAAAACTTTGAAAGGTCATAACTTTTTTTCTATTATAGATAGAAAGCTGAAAGTTTCACTGAATTTTATCCCTTTCAAAGGACTACAATTCCTGAAAATTTCAGCTCATTTGCACTTATAGTTCCTGAGATAAAATCGTGTTAAGCAATTTGGGGTGATTTATCAATTTTTCTGAGTGCCTTTTTTCATAGATTTCGGCTTCAAATCTGAGAATAATTTAGTGTATGTAGTTGACGGGTTTCCAAAAGACCATTAGGACACAAAATCACAACAAAAAAAAAATGAGGGGCAAAAACTGTTTCAGTGTCATTTTTGGGAAATTTTCAATGTTCGATAATTTCAATTTTGAAGCTTCTCAGGTGCAAAACTGTTGAAACAATCGTTGAGTAAATACAAAAACCCAATAGAAATTTGGGTTTTTCCCAACCCTGACAGTGACTACCCCCTTGAAAAAACCTACATAAATCCATAAATAATGTGCAGATGTTATTTCCTTCTTTCATACAGCTATTCAGAGTTAATTTGATTTACATTCTCCTATAAAAAATAAATATTTTAGGCCATTTATGGATTAATATGTAAGAGCAACCTAAATAACGGACTAGTATATTATTGTTTTGTGGAAACTTTTGGTTCATCAATAATACCATACATTAGACCAAAACATAATAATAAAACAGGTAATAGATTTCTTCCTTACTTATGTATCTATTTATCAAAACAATATTTATTTTAGAATATACAAAAGAACTAATTGACACAGTCCAAATGCAAAAAAGACTTATTAAAACCCGCAGAAAAGTTGATTTCCCTTACAAGAAAACTGAAAAACTAAACACAGACATATTTGAAACAACTCCACATTGTTGCACAGCAAAACCATCTAAACCAACTTCAAAAATTCATATTGGAGTATGTTTCGAGCTAAAAAAGATCCATCCGTGTTGTAGTTTCAGGGAAAAACTCGAACTTCACAAGAAACTTTGTGAAACTAATAAAACACGTAGGGAAACGAAAATTACCATTGGAAAAACTGATTCGTTGCTATCCGTTTTTAAACCCAAACATATAAATTTGGAAGAGTGTAGGGAACATTCTTTATTTGGTTTGTACTTGTAATTGAAATAAAATAATATATAATTTTAATGAATTTTTATTTCATTCATTGTGGCATTCAGAAATAGGTACATAATAACAGCAATAATAAATAATTATAAAAAAAAAAGTACAGAATCAAAAAAGTAAATTACATAAAAACTTGCATTGTAAGTAAAAAGATTCGCCAAAAACAAACTCGTACATGCAAAAAGAAATTCTAATCCAACATCCTATGCCTCATTCGATGCCTGGTTATGTACAATGGCCTGACACACCTCCGACACAAATGGCAATAAGATTGCTTCTTATTTTCAGGAACATCCCTCAAATCTATCACTTTAGTGGTGTAATATTTTTCTGAAAATTTTGTACTTTCTACCACAGAAGAGTCTTTGTTGTTTTGGTTCAAATTAACTCTTTCTAAAACAACCTGTAATTGTTTATTAGTAGGTTCTTTGGTAATTGTTTCAATCCTTCTCTTTTTGATGACAATTTCTGACTCATCTGAATCACTTGAATTTATATCATGGTTTGTTAAGTCTTCTTCAATTTGTGTGATATCTTCAGAAGCTTGGTTAATTTCTTTAATTTCACCAGCAATTTCTTCAGATGATATTTCCAAAACCTCTTGAGATGGTGATAGAATAACAACGCTTTGTTGAGATTTGGGATCTAATGGCAAACTAGTTCTCAAATTGAAAACAAAACTTTCTGGTGTACTTGGAGGACTTTCATCTGCAGGCTCATTTTGTGAATTTCTAATGGATGAAGGAGGACTTTCAAGAATATTACTGGGTTGTGTTGGGTTGACCAAAAAATGACTAGATGAAGGATTGATATTTTTGCTTTGTCCATTTGGATTTTCTATAAAAGTAGCATCAGCTGAATTATTATTCGTTGAAATTTCATTGATAATAACCTCTTCACTAGTATCTGATATAATAGAAACATCTGTTGCCTCTTCACTAAACAAACTTTCAATTTGCAATGTTGCTGCAGCTTCCAAAAAACCTTGCAAATTATTTTTCGATAGGGAAACTTCACCTTTATAACAGTACTCCAATACCAATGCGAGCTCTTTAGGAGTGACATCTTGCAAATAAACAATTGAATGGTCTGCAGAATCATGTTGGAAAATATTTTTAAAATAACGTGAAGCCATACACAAACGGAGTTTGTGGGCCTGGAAAGTTTTTCCGCCACAACAAATAGTCACGTCGCTAAATAGTTTCGACACAAAGTATTCTGCGAATATTCGTTTCAAGTTGTCAGAGTGGTTGGTTTGTTGAAAGAGTTTCATTTTTGTTGTTCTGGTCCTTTTGATGCCCAGATTCCTCGACATTTTATTGTGGAATCTGAAAAAATTGGACTGGATATAAATAATTGGCTGTTTGAGATTCAGATTGAGGGTAGGGATTTCTTAAACCAATAAAAAATACATTAGAGCTTTAATTATTATAGAATTTGTAGAGTAGTTTTGACAGTAGTTCAGCCTTTGAAGCAAATCTAGCCTTTTGAGTTTTTAGTTTTGAAGGGCAAGGTAGACCCAATGACATATTAACACAGATAGACAGTACATGAAAATTTTTATTGTCAATATATCTAGAGGGCGATCCACCTCTGGTTTATCCCCTTTAATTAGGTTGCCAAATTGTTACAGATTGGTATTTAATAAATACGTAACAGGATAAATACTATTTATCCTGTTACGACTTTGCTTTCACAAAACTAAATCTTCCAAGACTAAAAACAACTACTGGCAACCCCAGTTTAGTTTAACAGTGCTGCAATCGAATAACATGTCAATATGCCTGTTGAATGTATATTATATGAGTTAGAGGCAGATAGATAGATGAACAAGTTGTTCTTGTTTACACCTCTGATGCATCCCCACCATAACCCCCCTCGAGCAGCTCACCTCTCCTGGCCCATGGGGGGTTTTGTCATCACCAGTGTTGCCAATTAGCGTGAATTACACGATTTGCGTGTATTTTGATTGGCTTGCGTGTATTTTTCGAACATAAACGAAAATCGTGTTTTTTTCGTGTCATTTGAAAAATTTGACATTCCCTTTAATTTTCTTCTGTTTCACAGCTTTCCAATCTAAAGTTACGGCCCCAATGTAACATGAATAGTAGTAGATGTTTTCTTTTCCCTAAATTGCTCCTTGCATTCCATTCCATCATCATTTTCTGTCAAATGATCTTTCAAGTGACTACCCTTATGGTCAAGTATAATACACACTAAGGATTGCTTATCGACCTCGTTTTTGGTAATCGCGGTCATATGGTGTAGCACCATTGCTGACGTCATTTACTAACTCGTCAATTGTTTGCGCCAGCGGTCGTTTTTAAATTTATGATGAAAAATGTTAATTAATTTTGATTATAGGCGAAGAGGAAGATGCAAACGAGATATGAAAAAGAATTGTTCAATAATGTTAAAATGTAGTAAAACCAAATTTGCATAAAGCAAAAGCCCGCGGAATCATAACCTGTTGTGCAAACACCCTACGAGAAACGACACGCTGCCTACGTCATCACTGGTACTTTGGCATGGCAGGGGGAGCTCGAAATTTGAACTACACAGGCCTTATGAGGATAGGCTATCCTGTAGTAGCAGTGTGCAGGAAACTGATGTCCAAAAGTAACCTCTTTTCCAGGAACCAGAGTAATTAGTAATTTGATTATTTTCGGACTGATTTTCTGTAGTTGCCACATCTTTATTTTTGACTGGGGAGCGATGATCAGGAGCATTAACCCTCAGATTTGAATGGATTTTACTCATTTCCCAAAATCATAAATCACAAAAAAAAATTATACTTGCTTCTTAATGTTACAGAATAGAATAGGTACCAAGATCGTGTGTAGAAATTGTGTAATTGTGAGAAAAGAAAGCGTGTAAAAACGTGTAATTTGACCAGTATATCGTGTAATTTCACAAATTCAGATTGGCAACACTGGTCATCACAACAAACATCAGTTTATGAATGAGATGTTTATTTTTGTTAAGATGTCATTGTTGGAGACCCATTATTCTACAATGTTGCTTTATAGACAAAAACCATGGAATAAGCACAAATTGAAATAACAAGAGATTTAAATGAGATGAGGAGATTTTTAACCAAATTGACTACCGGTATTAATTAATTAGTGTCTGTTTAGCTTCTTACCTCAATTATTAGCAAAACAAATCTGATTTAGATCAAAATCTAGAGCTGGCCTTTGGTGAAATAAACTAAGCTGTACCTGTAGTATATAATTTATAAAACCGCGGAAAATTTCTTATTTGAATAACAACCCAAACAACTTTTCATTCAAATTTCAGGCAGAATTTTGTTGTGGTTAGGACTTCGGAGTCCCGTGACTTTGACATTGACAAGTCTGGAACAAGTTGTATTCCTTTCAACAGCTTGAAACACTCGAGCTACTCGCTCCGGTGCTTAGTCGCCCCCGATTTACAGGGAACAGATGCGTGGTGCAAGAAACACTTTTCGAAAGGAATAAGCGCGTGAAGCCCCGGAGCTGTTCCGAACCTCCTCTTAGGTGTGAAAGGAATACAACTACAGACAGAACTGTCAGGACTCAATAATTAAAGGTGATTTCGTTTCTCTCCTACTCGACAATTTTATCACCTTAGCTGTTCTCTATTGACAGATCACATTTCGAACCAGTTTGGACAGGTTTTTATTTTACCACGAATGATTTCGGAACAGAAAATGAAAATTTGGAACAAAACTGGACATGTCCCGAACTAGTAATCTCTAGTTCAGAATCGGTCCAAAGCCTATTCTAGTTGAAACCGCGAACAAAGAACTGGAAATTGAGACAATAAAGAATTGAATTGAAATAACAATTCCTAATCAGTTCTGATTCTATACCGCAAACGAAACTGCTACACTATTTGCACTAATTTACTATTATTCGCGACACTTTTTACCATTCTGAACTCATTTTTATAGTGTAATCGAGCATCGAGAGCACCACACCAAAGTTGAGTTCGGAATGGGACTTTAGTGCAGTGATAAAGTCCAACAAATACCCTTTTTAAAGTCACGTGATTTTTCTCTATCCTTGTTGAATACATCTTAAACAGCGGTGATAGTAAAATTGAAAAAAAAAATTGTTGTCTAAATTTAATTATTATTAATTAATATTAATTTTAATTATTGTTCATAATATTCTTACCTGAAATAGAATCCGTCACTGTCATCAATTAGTTTGTCAAAGTTATTTTCGAAAATGATACAACGAACAAACACAGCTAATAATTTTGACATTAACCTTTTTTCCAACTCGAAAAGAAGCAAATAGAAAACGGGCACCCAATTCAAGTTCAGAATGTATTACAACGGACAGCAGATGCGACAAAAGTGAGTCTCTCAACAATTGCAAGTATTAAAATTCCCATCTGATTGGTCAATACTACTTCAGAAGCGCGTTTGTAAAATGCTAGTGGGAACATGTGCTAAAATTCAATAGTAATTAACCACCAGTAGCTTTTTGTAGGTGATATCAACGACATCTAAAGGTACAGTTTGTTAGGATGTCGTCATTGGTTCAGAGGTATGACGTACACCCGTTACTTAGCGTCAGCATCAGAAAACGGGTGTACGTCATACCTGAACCAATGACGTTTATGTTGTCAGTTGTGCGTCGCGCACTATCCTAACAAACCGTACCTTTAGAGCTTTCCTGCTCTAAGAACGAAATAATCCATGGTCATACGTTTTTTGCCACCAATATCACGTGACTTTAAAATGGTATTTGTCGGACTTTAGTGCGGTATTCGTGTAGTGCAGTGTTAAGCTACATCCTCAATCAATCTGGTAGCGGAGTGGCACTTTGGCACGCGTGCTGGGAAATTGATACCCATCCTCAATGCTGTCAATTTTCAGTCTGCTGTGCGTGTAGTTCGGTCACATACCGTGCGTTCGGTATTTTGATTTGAGTTCTCTGAGCATGAATTTACCATTTGTTTATTTGAAAAGTGTACTCGGTGCAGGCTCATTCACATTCGTTTAATAAAATTTCGAGCCCTCTGATACAGCGTTCAACTGCTCTGTGCGCTCGCTGGTCACATCATGTCACATGATTACAACTCCGCTCTGCTCTTTGACCAAAATACCGAACGAAAGGATAACCTAAATTATTTTTTACCATACTGCGCATGACACACAAAACGCATGACATAAGTCGGTACGTTTCAAAAAAGCTTGCACTTCGGAGTCGGCGTGCATGCCAGCACGGAATTGAATTGAGGATGCCAACGTTAAACAACATTTTCCTAGCGTGCGTGCCGAAGTGCCACTTCGCTATCAAATTGATTGAGGATGGGCCTTTATATCACGTAATGAAGGTGTAAGCGTCGGTGTAACACCAAATACACCAAGTGAGTTTGGAATGGTATAAAAGTGTCGGCACCAATGAACTATAGTCAAAAACTGGAATGCGCACACATTGCCATATCTGCCAAAAAAATGTAGCCATGAAAGACAGATGCCACAAAGGGGAATGTTGTTTTTCTCTGTTGCTCGCTGACATATGACGTTTTCGAAAGTTTTGTCATATTTCCCTTCACAGGTTTCATCAATTGGAATACGTGTTGGAAGCAATTTTCGCCATTTAACATAATGAGTGCAACAAAAACAAGTATCCCCTCCGCAGCAGCTGCACTAGGCTTCACATTCGTCCTTATGTGTTAGCATTCCAGTTTTTGGTTATAGTTCATTGGTCGGCACTTTTCACACTATTGACACTGCGGCGTTCGTTAATAGTAGGAGTAAGTTTAGTGTACACTTTATTTGCGTTTAGAAATGATTTGCTGTCCAAATGGTGTAAAGATGGTGGGACACGTTTACTCGTTACAAAGTGATTGGTGTATTTGATGTTACACCGTCGATTACACCTGGTGATATACAACATGTCCAGAAGCATCCCTTTGCGCGGGCCATGCTCCTGGAATTACTTGCATTAGCTCACTGCTATAAATCCTTCTGGATTCTCTTTTACTTTATTTTAACTTGATAGATTGTAATTACAATCCCGCAGGATTCTCTTTTATTGCATGCATAACCTTGAGGCGTTACCTTGGCACTTGTATAGTCTAATCCCGCAGGATTCTCTTTTTATTCTCTTTTTGTTACCTGTTACCTTTGATGTGGCCTCCTCCATCCCCTTCTAGCCACCCTTACCACACCTTAACACTTTTCACTTCTTTCCTCACTCACTCACTTACTGTGACTGTTTTTTCCACTCTTTTTGCCTCTCTTTCTCTCTCTCTCTCTCTCTCTTTTTTTTCCTCGCGAAACTTCGCGACATTCCCAACACACAGGAAGAATTGGATTATTGAGACTGACTA